CGCGGGGTCTCCCTGGCTGGGGGGAGGCGAGGGTCGAGGGCAGAACGAGCCCCCACCTCCCCACCTAGAGCAGCCTCCGCGCCGCGCGGGGGTCTCCCACCCAGGCCTTGTCCTTCCAGGCCCTCCTCCTGGGGAACGGCGACTAGACTGCGGGGAGAGAGGCGCGGCCGCTGAAAGGTTACAGCATCTGCTCCCACCTTCAGCCTGCGCCCCGCCGGCCTTTGCTGCGGCCCCAGGACACTCCTTCCCATCCTCCACCCCCACCACCTCCTGTCTCCATTCAATCGCGTCATGGCCAGGGCTGCTCCGGGACTGCTCCCGGGCGGCCTGAGAGCTCACGAAGTGTGAAGTGCCTCCCCATCCCGAAATGGAACAATTATGTTCACTGTTTAACAGGGAGAGAAACTGAGGCCCAGAGAGGCCAAACTAAAGATACTGGGTTAAAGATGCAGCAAGAATAAAGCCGGACTTGAACTCATTTCTGCCTGACTCCAGCACAGGCACTTTGATTTGCTATGTGACCAGAGAATGAAAATACTAGCAAGGACCATGCTCCCATGCTCCCTGCATCATGAACCAATTTCATCTTCAAACACCCCTGGGAAATGGGTACCGTTGTAATTACCCTTTTACAGATGGACAAATAGAGGCCTAGAGGGGCAGTGATTTAGCCAAGGGCACACAGGTGGTAAGGAGCCATGTGCCAGCTTCCCATGGAAGAAGGGGAGAATAACAATGGGTTTTTGAGTGTCCATCAAAAGAGACAATCTCCACCGCACTAAGACCTAGACCCGCTTTCCTAAAATCTAGTGGCTTGGCAACTGTTCCCTCCTTTCTTAGTGCTGGAATCAAGCCTGGGGTCCCAGATGGCAGAGGAGGTGTGTCTGACGTTGCCCACCCCTTTGAATTTCATATTTACGATCTGGCAGTGTTCTAGAACACAGCTCCAGTCAGGCGAGATGTCAGTTAGCTATTGCCACAATAATGCTGCATAAAACCGCCCTCCAACTCCGTGTCGTAAAACTCGTAAGCATTTATGTAGCCACAGAGTCTGAGGGCAGTGACTTAGGTTGGGCTCATCTGGCTTATTTACGTGTTAGGGTGGGGAGGGGGCTGTTGATGGTTGGCTGCTCTTGCTGGTTTGGCTGGAACACCTGAGGCTTTGGCCCTAGTGCCTTGCAGTGCTTTTCTCATGGCCATAGTCAAGCACAAGCAAAAACATGCAAGGTCTCTTGAGTCCTAGGGTCAGAACTCACCCGCACCTCCACCTAAATCTGTTCATCGAAGCCATGTGGCCAAACCCAGAGTGAATGGGTGGGGCATGCCCCCCACCCCACTCCTCCACCCCTCCCATTGCCACCGTAGGAGAACACTGAAGGGTTCTATGACAAAGGGTGTGGCTATAAGGAAGAATTGGAGCCATTGGTGCAGTGACCACGGGCAAGTGAATTAACCCCTCTGTGTCTCAGTTTCCTCCTCTGTATAACAAATAGGCCTAATAATAGCCTATCTTTAGGGAATTTGTGGGAATTAAATAAGATGATGCACATAAAGTACTGAGTACAGCGCAAGTACTCAATAAATGTTTATTATTACTGCATTATAGAGTTCTATTGATAACAGTGTTATCATTCTACCAACAACAGTGACAATTTGCCAGGCCCCTACCCTGTGCCAGCTTACCCAGGTGCTTCACCATAGCCCTATGGTGTGGTCAGGGTGAACATTATTGTCATTATTATTATGTCCACTTTAACGACAGGGAGACTGAGGACGACAGAGGGGACAGGACTCACAGCCAGTCACTGTTGGAAGTGGGATCTCTGAGCTCCGGCCCTGCTTCCAGCCCTAACCTACCTCTGCCCATCCCCAGGCCTCACCCTCCCGGATGGCACAGGTACCAGGGGAAGTGGACAACATGGAAGGCCTGCCGGCCTCTAACAACAACAACCCTGCAGCCCGCTGGGAGAGCCCAGACCGGGGCTGGGAGCGGGAGCAGCCCACGGCCCCCTCACTCTTCGAGTGCTCCCGGATCAAGGCCTTGGCAGGTACCTGGAAGAGGACTGGGTCGGGGAAGAGAGGGAGGGGGCTGCTGGGGTGTTGTCTGTATGCCTCAATGTCTGTTCCTAGATGGCCTGGAGGATGGGAAGACAGTTATAGACACTTAGAACTTGAATCTTTAGACCAGCACTGTCCAGTCGAACTTCCCATGATGATGGGAAAAGGTTCTCTGTCTGGGGTGTCCAATATACTAAGCACTAGTACTTGCAGTTATGAGCACTTAAAATGTGGCCAGTGCCTCCTGATGAACTGGATTTGTAATTTTATTTAGTTTTATTAGTTTAGATTTAAATGTGGCCTGTGGCTGCTGTATGTAGCGGTGCAGTCTTAGGTCCTTAGGGACGTGTACAGTCCCAGGAACGTGGAATTCCTTAGAATCCTGAAATGCTGAAATGCCAGGTTTTAGGACCTTAGAATGTCAGATTCGGAGATGCTTTGAAACTGAGACTTTTAGAAGTGGAGGAGACTCTTGTAAACAAAACTTTATAGTCACAGACCTTAGGAACTTTAATCATTGGCTCCTAGGACCTCAGACCCTTAGACATCTAAACTCTAATATACATAGAGGGTTATAGTCCTAAGCCTTTAGAATTTCTGAATAGAAATGTGAATCCTGAGAACTTTGAGATAGAATGACCAAACCTTCCTGCTTTAGCACTGAAGCCCTCAGGGACAACTGGGATTGTTGGTCACCTACTTCGATGTTTTAGAACAAAAAAACAAAACCCAGAGAATTATAGAGTTACTAGAGGCCCGGTGCACAAACATGCACTCGTCGGTGGGGGATGGGGGGGGACGGGGGGCCCCTCAGCCTGGCCTGTGCCCTCTCTCAGTCCGCGAGCCCCATGATCAATCGCCCCACAGAGGGAGGCCCCACCCACCCGCTGCAACGCCACCGGCCAGGTAGCCTGGGCCTCCTTCTGCAGGGCCAGGGCTCTGTGATCGGTCGCCTGCAGAGGGAGGCCCTGCCCACCCGCTGTAGCCCGCCCGTCGGTGACCTGGGCCTCCCTCTGCGGGGCGATGGTGGGGCGATGGTGGGCCCCCCCACCAATTGCATTGCACCGGCCTTGGCTGGCCTGGCGCCAGTGCGTGTCATTGTGTGGTCGTCGGTCGGTTGTTCTGCTGTTTGGCCGTTCGGTCGATTTGCATATTATGCTTTTACTATTATAGATAGAATCTTAGAACCTTAGACCTTCGGAATTGTAGACCCTTGAACCTTACGACTGTGTATTCACGTGGCTTTAGGACCTCAGAAGAGTTTAATCATCAGCCTTAAAACTTATAAGCAAAGACCCTCAGAGATGTGTAACTTCAAAATCGTAAGCCTTGAAAACATTAGACCCTTAGCACCTTTGACCCTTGGGATGTTAATGTCTCAGAAACATGGACTGTTATACACATAAAATATATATTGTTATAATCATAAAACCTTGAAACCCTAAAGTCAGAATCTTAGAATTTTAGTAACTCAGCATTTGACAATCATGGGATCTTCAATACTACAATTTTTGGAACTTTAAATTTTTTTTAAAATATATTTTATTGATTTTTTACAGAGAGGAAGGGAGAGAGAGAGAGAGTTAGAAACATCGATGAGAGAGAAACATCGATCAGCTGCCTCCTGCACATCTCCTACTGGGGATGTGCCCGCAACCCAGGTACATGCCCTTGACCGGAATCGAACCTGGGACCTTTCAGTCCGCAGGCCAACGCTCTATCCACTGAGCCAAACCGGTTTCGGCCTAGAACTTTAGAATTAAAATATGTGGAGCAGGGTGTCGAACTCAAAGGCCTCTGGGGAAGCAAGTGACATAGATGAGTGAGTGGACTGGGGGCTATAGTCAGCTAGCGAAAAATGCCCTGGACACCAGCTCTCACCAGGCCCAAAGTTGCTAGCTTTGATGTTTACCTGCAATTTCCCAATTAAAAAGAACGTTGAACCAAATTCGAGCCATGGATTGGCAGCTTCCTCTGATTTTGGAACCTAGAATGATCTAAACCAGCGGTTCTCAACCTGTGGGTCGCGACCCCTTTGGGGGTCGAACGACCCTTTCACAGGGGTTGCCTAAGACCATTCGAAAACACATATATAATTACATATTGTTTTGTGATTAATCACTATGCTTTAATTATGTTCAATTTGTAACAATGAAATTGGGGGTCACCACAACATGAGGAACTGTATTAAAGGGTCGCGGCATTAGGAAGGTTGAGAACCGCTGTTTAGATTCTAAACATATATTCATGAAAACTTAAAATCATACCTTTAGATTCTTAGACGCTTAAAAACATATCATCTTAGAATTTCAGAACTTATTATTTCATCCACAAAATATTTATTCAGTGCCTGCTCTGTGCCTGACCTCTGTTGGACAATATGAGGAACAGAATGGTGACTGAGCCAGCTCTGGTCCTGCCCCTACAGGGCTCCCAGTCCAGTGGTAGAGTTAGACCCAGCCAGATAGTGATGACGCAGAGGGGTTAGGGCCAGGATGGGGAAGGCACAGGCACAGGGCTGTGATGGGAAGCCCGGGGGCTGTAGGAGCCCAAAGGAGGTGCCTGCTTCAGTCCGGAGAGTCCAGGAATGCTTCCTGGAGGAGGAGATGTCTAAATTGAGGCCTAAAGGATAAAGAGTAGTGAACTTTGGGTAGAGAGTGCGAGATTATTCCAGGCAGAGGGAACAACGTATGCAAGATCTCCAGAAGTTGGAAGCAACTTGAGTGAGGGGGTACAGATGGTGAGTAAATGATGAGGGGAGAGGAGCCACATAGTGAAGGGCCTTGTAGGCCACAGTGAAGGGTGTGAGGACACCAGGGAGCAATGGTAAGCTTTTAAGCAGAGGTGGGATGTGGTAACATGAAGACCAAGGACTTTTCAAATCTTAGGATCATTGACTCACAGAACATCAGTGCTGGACCTCAGACAGCATCCAGTCTAGAGAAATGTAGAGATCCCCTGTAAGAAAAAATATTTCTCATACATTCCCTGTGTCTACTTAAATTATTGTAACTGTAGTTTCTTAAATGCACACAAACACATAATTCTGTTTCTATCGTCTTATACCTACAGTTCCCTACAACTAAAACACATGATATCAGACTCCAGACCAAAACCACAAAACCAGTAACATTCACATTAACAGTAACTTGGCGATGCTACTATTCTGTGAAACCTTGTTGCTACTCAAATGCTAATATGACCTAGACCAGCCGTGGGCAAATTACGGCCCGCGGGCCGGATCCGGCCCGTTTGAAATGAATAAAACTAAAAAGAAAAAAAGACCGTACCCTTTTATGTAATGATGTTTACTTTGAATTTATATTAGTTCACACAAACACTCCATCCATGCTTTTGTTCCGGCCCTCCGGTCCAGTTTAAGAACCCATTGTGGCCCTCGAGTCAAAAAGTTTGCCCACCCCTGACCTAGACTCTAGGATACATTTCCATTTGCATCCCTTTGCCTGCTTCTCTCGTAGTTTTTCTCTATTCAAACTAAGGCCAAACCTTTGAGCAGAGTCCTCCATAACATATATAGCATGAAGACATCTAAGAAATTGTCTGAAATGAGGACATCTGTAATAGTGTCAATAATAAAAATAAATTTAAAAAGAAAGGAAAAAAACTGTTGTGGCCCATTGCCATTATCATCTGTGTGAGGCCCCTCTCCTCTTTATCTATTCATTTACTCTCTTTTATTCCCATATCTCACATCAATGCCTTCTCCCCTATAGGTGACCATTCTAATAATTTAAAAAAATATTTTTTTCTTGATTTCAGAGAGGAAGGGAGAGGGAGAGAGAGATAGAAACATTAACGATGAGAGAGAATCATTGATTGCCTGCCTCCTGCATGCCCCACACTGGGGATTGAGCTCGCAACCTGGGCATGTGCCCTGACCGGGAATCAAACTGTGACCTCCTGGTTCACAGGTTGACTCTCAATCATTGAGCCATGCCAGCTGGACCCATTCTAATAGTTTTTAATGCACATCTTTTCCTTCGCATGTGGATGATCTTTCAAAATGTGCATTGCTAATTAGTGTGTGTGCGCAGACATATATTTTAACTCTTTGTTAAAGTATTACGTGCATCATGAGTGTCCAGCATTTCCACAAATGAGCACCATCTTGTAACCAGCCAGCAGATAAGGATACAGAATATGGCAGCCCAGACAAGCCCCGCTCTGGCCACCTCTCTATCCCTGCATCTCAAGAATAAAATCTGTTCCTCACTTCCAACAGTGCACATTCCTTTTGCTAGTTTTTGAGCTCCACATAAATGGAATCATGCAGCTTGCACTGTTTTGTGTCTGGCTTCAGCCACTCAACACTCTGCTTGTAAGATTCATCCACTTCTGCCCGTACATGTAGGTGTTCCTTCATCGCTGTACAGTATGCCACAGTGTGACTAAGCTGTAGCCTATCCTGTTGATGAGCATTTGGGTTGCTTTTAGGTTAGGGCTCTCACAAACTGGACTATTGCAAACTGGCAATTGCTAGTATTACAAAGTATTACCAATAAAGCTATTGCTGCTTTAAACTTCCTAGTACATGTTTTTGGTGGGCAGACCTCTCATTTCTGGATGGCTTAGACCCACCACGGAGTGACATTGTTGGATCATAGGATAGGTGTATATCTAACTTCGGTACAAACATGGCCAGTTTGTAGCATTTTACATTCCCCTCAACAGTGTATGAGTGTACAACCAACCAAACTTTGCTATGGTCATTCTTTTTAATTTTAGCCGTTCTGGTGGGTGTGCATTCTATTGTGGCTTTAATTTGTATTTTACTGATGACTAATAACAACTAATGAGGTGGAGCACCTTTTCATATGTCTATTGACTATTTGGATATCCTGGGAAGTGCCTATTTTCCTGCCTTTTTCGGATGCTTTTCAGGAGTTCTTATATATTCTGGGGCCAAGTCCTTTGTCATATGTATGTGTTGTGAATATTTTCTACCCACTCTGTGGCTCATCTTTTCATT